TGTGTTTTTTTGGGGGTTTTTTTGTTGGGGTTGTTTTTTTTTTTTTTTTGTTTTTTTTTTTTTTTTTTTTTTTTTTAAAAACGAAAACCCAAAGCAAAGCACACTTGCAACATCAGAAGGCAGAAAGAGCATAAAATAAATGCTAGTGCCATGTCATAAGACTTTCTGCTGGAAGCTTTTGCAACTTATTCCTGCCAGAATTTACTGTCTATCTCTGCTTTTTTTCTTAGCCTGTGTAGAGAGGATATCAAAAGTAATCTTTCTGTCTATAAGCAGATCTAAGGTATAGCTCTGCTTCCAGGTTGAAACTAAGCTGCATCAACGTTAAATATTTTAGAGATGTTAAAGCTTTCTAACAAGAACAATAAGAACCACTTGATTTCATGTTTGAGAGCGTGTGTGTTTTGGGTGTTTTTTCCTTTTTTTTTCCCCTTTGTAAACTGCTCTACATAGCAGTCATGTAGCATGGGTTTACAAATAACTTCTTCAGCTAGTAGCCGCTTTGAGAAACTTTTGGCATTTCTATTAATGGTGTTGTTGTCATAAATAAAAGGTATTTGTTCTAATACCTTGTCCCACTGATACTTCAGACATCAGTGACATGATTTGCTTGCCATTGCATTGAAATGACCCATTCTTAAGATTTGCTGGGCAGGGTTTTAATCTGATCTTTCAACAATAGTAAGATGCTTTACCTTCATGCTGCCATGATGTCACCAATGTCACGGATGGTGACTTTGTTTCTTCTGTCTGCAGATTTAATTGGTTGCCTGGCACTTCATCTGTGGCAAGCAGGACAATGGCTGCCAGCAAGAGCAAGAACCAGAGTTCCTTGGCCCTCCATAAAGTAATTATGGTTGGCAGTGGAGGCGTGGGCAAATCTGCACTCACTCTTCAGTTTATGTATGATGAGGTAAGTAGCTTTGAGTTCAGCTTCTCTAAAGCACCAGTGGGTACAACTTAATAAACTTTTTAGTGGGACAGGAAAACTAAATGGAAATAGCAAAAGTCCTGATGGCCTGCCTGGCAGGAGAAGGATGTAGGAATCTGGGTAGGGTGTCTTTTGGGAACGTCTTTGACTAAGGGTGGCAAAATTGATAGTGAAAGAACAGTCTTCAGAACACATGCATAATGTGCATGTTCTTGTTTGAGTGTATGGAGGCTGTTAGCGGTTGGCATTGAAGTCTACTTTTATTGCAGTTTTTTGGGTTTTTTTTGTTGTTTCTTTAGGCCAGCTAAGGATGAAGTTGGAAGTAAGCATTCTAGCTCATTCAGAGCCAGATGATGTAGGCATATTCATAGCATGAATGCTTCCCTACTGCTACACAGGAAGCTAGATCAGATAATCCAGACTAGTATTGTCCAGATCCTGTAATTCAGAAGTTGCTATTTATCTATAAGCTGTCCGTGCACACTGTAGTAAGTGAGTATCTGAACAGGTGGCATAGTCAATTAGTGAGCCCAAGCTTCATTGGGCTCATGCCACAGCTTTTTGTTGTACTTCGAGGCTGAGAGAAAGGAGGTAGAAGAGGAAGGAGCCTATTTTGGGCATGTGCTGTCAGAACAGAAGTGACAGTGAAGCTGGCAGTGGCTTTGTGGGTCTGATCAATACTAAATGGACTGAAGTACATACCTGTAATTGTGGAGCAGATTTCTCATGTTCAGCAGCTGGATGCTGTCATCTATACCTCTTGAGGCTTCAGATCACAGAATCATAGTATGGTTTGGGTTGGAAAGGACCTTAAGATCATCTAGTTTCAACCCCCTTGGCATGGGCAAAGACACCTCACACTAGATGATGTTGCCCAAGGCTCTGTCTGGCAGAACACTTCCAGGGATGGAGCATTTCTGGCTTTGAACACTTTGAGGGATGGAGCATTTACAACTTCTTTGGGCAACCTCTTCCAGTGCCTCACCACCCTTACAGTAAAGAACTTCTTCCTTATATCTAACCCAAACTTCCCTTGTTTAAGTTTACACCCATTACCCTTTGTCCTATTGCTGCAGTCCCTGATGAAGAGTACCTCTCCAGCATCCTAGTAGGCCCACTTCAGATACTGGAAGACTGCTATGAGGTTGCCATGCAGCTTCTCTTCTCCAGGCTGAACAGCCCCAACTTTCTCAGCCTGTCTTCATAAGGGAGGTGCTCCAGCCTTCTAATCATCCTCGTGGCCCTCCTCTGGACTTGCTCCAATAACTACATGTCCTTATGTTGAGGACAGCAGAACTGTACACAATACTCCAAGTGGGGTCTCACAAGAGCAGAGTAAAGGGGCAGGATCACCTCCTTTGACCTGCTGGTCATGTCGCTTTTGATTCAGCCCGGGATACAGTTTGCTTTCTAGGCTGCAAGTGTGCACTGAAGCTGGCTCATGTTCAGTTTTTCATTGACCACCACCCCCAAGTCCTTCTCCACAGGGCTGCTCTGAATCTCTTCTCCGCCCAGCCTGTAGCTGTGTGAGGGATTGCCCCAACCCAGGTGTAGGACCTTGCACTTGGCTTGGTTAAACTTCATAAGGTTAGCATCGGCCCACCTCACAAGCGTGTCCAGGTCCCTCTGGATGACATCCCTCCAGTGTATCAACCGAACCACACAGCTTGGTGTCGTCGGCAAACTTGCTGAGGGCGCCTCAATCCCACTGTCCATGTCACTGACAAAGATGTTGAACAAGACAGGTCCCAACACCGATCCCTGAAGGACACCACTTGTTACTGGTCTCCAACTGGACATTGAACTATTGACCACAATTCTTTGTGTGCGGCCATCCAGCCAGTTCTTTATCCACTGAGTGGTCCATCCATCAAATTGATGTCTCTCCAATTTAGAGAGAAGGATGTTGTGCGGGACAGTGTCGAACGCTTTGCACAAGTCCGGGTAGATGATGTCAACTGCTCTGCCCCTGTCCATCAATTCTGTAGCCCCATCACAGAAGGCCACTAAATCAGGCATGATATGCCCTTAGTGAAGCCATGTTGGCTGTCACCAACCACCTCATTGTTTTTCATGTGCCTCAGCATGCTTTCCAGGAGAATCTGCTCCAAGATTTTGCCAGGCACAGAGGTGAGACTGACTGGTCTGTAGTTCCCTGGGTCTTCCATTTTCCCCTTCTTAAAAATGAGGGTTATATTACCTTTTTTCCAGTTAGGAATTTCACCTGACTGCCATGATTTTTCAAATATGGTGGACAGTGGCTTAGCAACTTCCTTTGTCAGGTCCCTCAGGACCTGTGGGTGGATTTCATCAGGTCCCATGGACTTGTGCACGTTCAGGTTCCTAAGATCTCAAGCCTGATCCTCTCCTACAGTGGGCCTAAGGTCTTCATTCTCACAGTCGCTGCATCTGCCTTCCAAGACTTGGGTGGTGTGGTCAGAGCATTTGCCAGTGAAGACTGAGGCGAAGAAGTAATTGAGAACCTCAGCCTTCTCCAAATCCAGGGTAGCCAGTTCTCCCAGTAGCTTCCAGAGAGGGCCTACATTATCCCTAGTCTGTCTTTTGTTGGTGATGTACCTATAGAAGCCCTTTCCGTTATCCTTGACGCCACCTCTCCCTGTTGGTGAGCACAAGGTCAAGCATGGCACCTCTCCTTGTTGGCTCCTCTCTCACTTGCAAGAGGAAGTTGCCTTCTACACAATCGAAGAACCTCCTGGATTGCTTGTACTATTTTGGACATAGTACGGGTACCTGTACCTGAAGTACACTCAAACGTGTTTTGTTTTGGTTTTTTTTTTTTTTTTGAAGTAGTAGATCTAGATAATGCCACCAGATTGCTAGTAGCTTATACTGTTTCTTTGTCCCTTAAATTGTGCTGAAATTGCTGAGCAGTGTTTCATGTAGCAAGACAGTTTATCTTGACTAGGCAGACTAGCTCTTTGATGTATTAAGTCCTTAAATGATTTGCTTTTTACAGTAAAGCTTGAAGTGGTGGAACTTAGTAGCTGACTGAATTATGAGAAGGTTTTGGGGAATTTAAATGACACTGAAGTGAAAGAGAATAGATATGAACAAATACTGAGAACATTTGACAGTAATTCTAGACACTAATCCCTTATCATATTCAGTTTGTAGAAGACTATGAACCTACCAAGGCTGACAGCTACAGAAAGAAAGTAGTTCTCGACGGTGAGGAAGTTCAGATAGACATTCTGGACACAGCAGGACAGGAGGATTATGCTGCTATCAGAGACAACTATTTCCGCAGTGGGGAAGGATTTCTTCTAGTCTTTTCAATAACAGAGCATGAGTCTTTCACAGCAACAGCAGAGTTTCGGTAAGTAGTTTCTATCCCAGACAGTGGGGATTATTTGGTTCCTCTGACAACTCTTTTGAAAAGCTACAACTCTTCATCCTTTTGTCTGTTACCATTTGGTCAGTAAAAGTGGCAGCCCAACCATTTTGCTCTCAGTAACTGCTGACATAAATCCTGGTATCCAGCCTCTGGCTTTAGTTGTCTTCATGTCTGCAATTTATGAGTACATTACACCAGCAGCAACTTCAGGCAAGTAACACATTCTTGGACTCCTAAAACATGTGTGTTCAAGCCAATTTTCAGTCTTCATGGATGTGAAATTTAATTATCTTAAAGCAGTGCTTCTGGAATTAAGTCTGCCTTTTGGCCAGGTTTCAGACACTGTATTGCTTACTGCTAGAAGCAGGTGCTCTAAGGAAAGGAAGGATTAGCCTGCACTCAGGTATGGATTGGTGCCAGACAAGGGTTGGCAGCCAAGTGGTGCTATTGTAGGCAGATGCATTCCTAGAAAGACACTCAGTAGTAATAAATGCTTCCGTTTTTGTTCTTGGGATTAGCAAGTCTAACATGAAAATCACCAGATTGAGCACAGAAACTGCTTGCATAGCATAAAAAAAACCCAAGGGGTTTGAACCATTGTTCTGGTCTCAGAACTCATGTAGCCAGGTTCTTCAGAGCAAGTGTTCTAACTCTTATTTGGGAATATCTGTTGCCTCAGTGTAGAAGGTAATCCAGAGATTCCCTAGGACAGCTGTAAACTTGATGTAAAATTTGCCAAAAAATAGGAAAGTGTTAGGAGTTTCCTATGTTTGCCAGAAAAAAGCTCTGTATCAGTCTGCCTTACGTGACAGAGCTCTTCTGCTTAGTTTGCTCTAACTGGAGCACTGAAAGGAGTTAAGCAGTTGAACTGTAGTGGGGCTGCAGAACTGAGTATTTGGACTGTTCCTAGCATAAGATGTAGAAAAAAGTCAGATACAACTTTAAAAAAAAAAAAAATAACCCAACAAACAGTCCCCCCAACCCTCCCCCCCAAAACAAAGAAAGAGACACTTGGAAGTAGCCAGCCTTGGTTTTGGCTTGTGTGCTTAAGTGAAATAGAAGGTTAAACCCAAGACTTAAGGCTTTGGATGAAAAGGAGTAGGAGTGTTTATCTTGGCAGTTTGTGGTTTTTGTCAGACTTCTGTAACTAGGTTAACTGTGTGTTGGTTTAAGATTCCAGCACAGCAAAACAGTGAAAAAAGCAATGCTAGCCCTGAAGATGAGCAAGAAGGACCTGAAAGCTCCTTGGAAAACACTTCCCCAGGAAGGTGGGGGGAATGGGTAGTATGACTCACTAGCATCATGGGTTATTGGCATTATTGATTTTCTGACTTCTAGAGTTCATAAACTAGAAGAAGTTGAATACTGAATGAACTATGGGCTTGTCTTTAATCCCTAGCTCTCACGCTATGCATTCAGTGTGTGCTTTTAGTGCCTCTAATCTGAAAACGTGTGAAGGTACAGTTGAATGCAACAGCAGATTGTCTGCTTCAGTGTTAACACTATTTTAGATTCTCATGTACTCTATATACATTCAGTTACTTTGTGGATGGAAAGTGCAGGCATCTGAAGTAGTGTGGTGACTCTGGGATGAGGGGGTGTAGCACCATGCTTATGCCTAGTTTGGCTCTTGCTCATAACAAAATGAAGCAATCTAAAAATAACTAGGCTGGTACAGTTATTCTAGTATCCTAGATGGACAGCAACATGTGTCAGTCTAGTTTCAACCTGTTTCACTCCAGTGATAGCACAGACTTGGAGACTGACATGTCTTCTTTCCTGGATGCTGATAGATCCTTTTAAAATGACAAAGGATAGGTAGGTTAATCATAGAATCATAGAATAGTTAGGGTTGGAAAGGACCTTAAGATCATCTAGTTCCAACCCCTAGTAACATCATCTAGTAACCATCTAGTAACACCACACACTAAACTATGTTGCCCAAGGCTCTGTCCAGCCTGGTCTTAAACTCCTCCACGGTTGGAGCATTCACAACTTCCTTGGGCAACCTACTCCAGTTCCTCACCACCCTCACTGTCAAGAACTTCTTCCTTATATCTAACCTAAAGTTCCCCTGTTTAAGTTTAAGCCCATTACCCCTTGTCCTACCACTAGAGTCCTTAATGAAGAGTCCCTCCCCAGCATCCTTGTAGGCCCCCTTCAGATACTGGAAGGCTGCTATGAGGTCTCCACGCAGCCTTCTCTTCTCCAGGCTCAACAGCCCCAACTTTCTCAGCCTGTCTTCATACAGGCGGTGCTCCAGTTCTCTTATCATCCTTGTGGCCCTCCTCTGGACTTGCTCCAACAGCTCCGTGTCCTTTTTATGTTGAGGACACCAGAACTGGACACAATACTCCAAGTGAGGTCTCACAAGAGCGCTGATGGTTCAAATATTTTCTTGGAGTCATTGAAGGAGGAAGGTTGCTAGCATTTTAGTTCAGCACTAGTTAGTAACTCCTGTTGTCTAAAGTTTAGGTAGCCGTTAAGAATGATCTCAGGTAGCTACTTATGCTGTTCCCTAGCTACTGCCTTGGCAAATCCTTGATGTTGCACAGACCTATATTGAGATGGGATGTAGACTGGAAATTGAAGATGGTGACTGAATGACAAGGTGAAACTTGGCAAATGTGGAACTTGCGTTCTTCTCCTTCAGATGTGAACTCCTGTTGTGAGTTGCTTTTCTGCCATGCTGATCTTGTTAGAAATGAGTTAGTAGCTAAATGATAAAACTACTTTCCTGGAAGTGTGAGGTTTTTATTAGCATAAAGCCCATAGCATTAGTGTGTTAAACTTGGAATAATTTTAAAGCTTGTGTTCAACTGTTGGGAAATGTACTGTTAAGTACTGTTGTAAAAGCTAGTAATGTGCAGACCACTTGATCCACTCCTGATAAGGGTGGGGGTTTGTTGCTACTACTGACACAGATATTTTTATTTTGAATACTTGATGCGTTAGGGAACAGATCCTGCGTGTGAAGGCTGAAGAGGATAAAATCCCTTTACTGGTAGTAGGAAACAAATCTGACTTGGAAGAGCGCAGACAAGTGCCTGTAGAAGAGGCTAGAAGTAAGGCAGAAGAATGGGGTGTGCAGTATGTAGAAACCTCTGCCAAAACTAGAGCGAATGTAGATAAGGTAAGACAACATCTGCTCAATTAGATTGTTACTATTGTTTAGTACCTGCGTGACTAATTCTTGACTCTTTCTGGGTTAAAAGCAAATCCACAGTTGGGCTTCTGAAAGCCTAGATTATAAAAAATGAATGAATTTTCTGGAATGCATACACTTAAGCAAATACCTAGCTTAGAGGAACCAGAGACATGTTGCAAGTTAATGCTGTTGTCTTGTTTTTAACTGCTTGTACCTGAACCAATAGCTTTCCATTTTAAGGATTCCCTGAAATATACTTTGTGTATAGGCTGTGTGCAATTATTATAATAGCAATAAATGGCAAGCTATAGACACTTATAAATTGTTCCCCCTTCCCTAAAAACTATGTGTAGTGTGGCTAGTGTTGAAGATTTCATTCTTGTTTCCTGCTAAGACTGTTTTGAATTGTGGGAAGAACTTCTTGCTGTGTCCCTGCTATGTTTTGACTTGCCCGTGCTGGTTTAGGACAGTCATGTTTCTGCTGCTGGTTTCTTGCATAAACAGTTGTGGTGGGTTATCCTGAAAGAGATGAATTATGACTATGGAGTGTTTGCCCAGTAGCAGGGGAAAAACCAGTTTCAAGCCTCCCCTTCATTCTGTGTGTAGTGGGGATTTTTTTATTATTATTTTTTATAT